CATCAACATCCTACATATGAGGACTAGAGTTGTCAAAATGACTCTTTATTTGCGACCAGCTCGTGTTTGACTCGCTAAGCAAACGGGCTGAACACAAATATAAATATAAATATATATATATAATAAATTGATGAATATTATTTTAAAATAATTTAAGTGACAATAAGACTCCAAAGCTTTATAATTAATTTAAAATATTAATAAAAAATAGAATAAAAATATATTTATTTATGTTTAAATGATGTTTGAATATAAATAATAAGATTTATGTCTTGCCCCTACCATCAACATCCTACATATGAGGACTAGAGTTGTCAAAATGACTCTTTATTTGCGACCAGCTCGTGTTTGACTCGCTAAGCAAACGGGCTGAACACAAATATAAATATAAATATATATATATAATAAATTGATGAATATTATTTTAAAATAATTTAAGTGACAATAAGACTCCAAAGCTTTATAATTAACTTAAAATATTAATAAAAATAGAATAAAAATATATTTATTTATGTTTAAATGATGTTTGAATATAAATAATAAGATTTATGTCTTGCCCCTACCATCAGCATCCTACATATGAGGACTAGGGTTGTCAAAATGACTCTTTATTTGCGACCAGCTCGTGTTTGACTCGCTAAGCAAACGGGCTGAACACATATATATATATCAATTTTTTAGTTTTCTAATTATAAATGAGTAGAACACTAACATTGGTATTTTTCAACAAGCCGAAATGAGCTGAGCCCGAGCTGACTCATTTACACCCTTAGGCTCTTATTCATGCCCAAATAATCAAGCTTGTTTTATATGTTGTTGTAATCATGATAAATTTCAAAAGAAAAATTCAACAAAGAAGAGATATTTACCTTATATAAGGTGTTGCATCTGCATGATATCATTAATCAAAAAATTTTTTTATTTGTAACTCACAAATTTACTAAATATCGTGGATTAAATCATGATATCATGAAGGAGAAAGGGAAATGTTCCAACGAGGTTGAGGATAAGGTTGGACTTTGTTTGTCAGTGCTTCTAATGGCATCTACCTCCATTTGATCCCTTCTGCGTTATCGAATTCATGGCATAACCAACTTCTGCAGGGAGTTATCATCCTTGCCGATGATGATTTTGATTGACCTAGGCTCTATTTGGCGCAATTGCCAGGCTGCGGTGTGGTGTTGTACTGCAAAAAAATTGTGTTTGGGGCAGCAGTTCTCAAGCGACATGCCACGATATACCCCGAACGCGGAACACTGTGAACAACCCGTAGCCCAGCTTCCTCTCTCGGTTTTTTACCTAATTACACTACCCCCCAATTCTCATTTCTTTCCATGAAAGAAGATGAACCACGATCTACACCCCTCTCCTCCTCTACTCTGACGACTTCCTCCTCTTCTCAGGTGCATCTCACGCAACCAAGCTGCTTCCTCCTTTCTTCTCACGAGTTCCTCACGTATAGGGCTTCTCCCTTCTCTTCGCATTGGTAAGATTTTTTCATTTTTTGTTTCTTTGAGATGGAACAGAGGCGAAAATTTGTAGTATAAAGATTTATAAGGAACTTTTGGGTGTTCATTTTATCTCTTCTTTAGTGTGAGAGTGGGTTTTCCTAAGAAAACCTGTTGTTTGGTCTATAACCAGGGTTTGACCCTCCCTAGGAGTTTTTGTGTGGCTTGTTAGTAGCTGTCCTGAACTGATTCTTGTCGTTAACTGTGGTAGTTTTGAGTTTCAAGAGGAATGCTGCTAAGAGATTAGTTGTTTTCCCAGTTGTGTCACAACCATTTTGTTATTCCCAAAACATTCATTCTGCAATACATGGCAACCGTCTGAACATTTTTATAACAAATTTTACGACATTGTAGTTGACTGAGACAATACCAACCCGGTTCTTACATGTTCTCATAACAAATTTTAACATCTTGATTGGTCAAATCATAAAGTAAATGAAGTAAATAAATTTAAATCATCATAACTTCTTCCAACATTAAAGATCAATACTCTCCACAACTTTCATCCAACACTTAATTACTTATTATTTTAAGAAAAAAGATAATGAAAACTATTCAAAATCCATGGAGAAAACAAAACCACACTTTAGTTTAAAAGTAGAAATCAGTGTCAAACCAAAAAAAAGTCTCAATTAAAACCAAAAGTAGTCTAAAAGAAAAGATAGAAATTTATATCAAGTCCTCCGCTAAACTCTTGAAGTTCCTTTGAATCTCTTCTCTTTTACAACACTCTCAATATAAAACTAAAATAAAAAGGATAAATATGTGGTGCCTGAAAATCTCTCCAACTGACTCCCCAATTTTAGAACTTTCAAAATTTTCCCAGTACTTCAGGACCCCTTTCAAAGTGTCAATCTTCCTTCTTTTATAATTCTCCAAAAGGTGCATTGATATCTCTTTAAAATGTGTCTTGATTTGATGTATTTCCCCAAGAGATGCATTTTTTTGCAATAATTTTTGTTTATTGCAACCACCTATTAAGCCAATAGGTGCCTCAAAAACTTTTTCAAAATTCGCAAAAACTGAATTTACTCATCCAATAACTACCACTGACGCTTAAGCACGGGGCCTCTGACTCTCTGACGCTTAGCTGCTGCCTTCTCTGTTTAACCGACGCTTAGGCGTTAACGCTTAGGTGCTGCCTTCTCTGTTTAACCGACGCTTAGGCGTTAAAACACTTTTGCATATTATTCACCTATTTGCTCCAAATTTGATCATTTTTGACTCATTTAAGCATTTTTCACATTTTTACATGTACCCAAAAGAAAAACACAAAAACAAAAGAAAAACACAAAAATAGAAAAACACAAAAATACATTCCATTAAAGCACAATATCTCAAAATATATGTATAAACATGTGTCTAAAAACACTACATATTTTAGGCATATCAAGTATCAGCGTGGTTCATCTTCTTGTTGACCTCACGATTCACGCTCACCACACATTTTAGAATGTTGAATCCAAATCCGTCCAGTTAATTGTTCCTAAAGGAATAAAGCGTTGAACTGAGGATATGTGATCGACAGAGAAGCAAAAAGAAAAGATGAGAACTTCCCCCGGCTGGGGGGAAAATGGAATGTTCTTTGGCTCTCGAGCCTATTTTATTTCATAAAGTAGTTTTTTTACTAGTGGGGGGATCCAAAGTCCTCTTATACATCCTAACACCCTCATATTTATAAAAAATATAAGGGGGTAAAAAAATATAAAAATTTTATATCTAGACTTGCTTTAGAGAGGAGAACAAAGTGCATTGCAATCCATTTGTCTTAAACCGCCATATTTACCTTGAGATCCATGCAGATCATTTTTGAATATATATATATATATATATCCTAACCAGTCTAATTAAAGTTTTCCTAAGTGTGTAATAAATGGGTTACTCAAGATCATTACTAAACATTAATACCAAAATGTTACTCATAAGCCATAATCATGCATAGTTAATCAATTCTTAATCATAATATTTAAACATTAATGATACTTGAATTTGTTTTCTAATTTTAGTCATGAACTATGCTCACATGTACAACACATACTGTTGTAAACAAAATATAAGTATCCTAAGGTTATTTTAAAGTTATTTTACTATTTGCTTGATTTTTTTTTATTAGACATGAATCAACATCTTCTCATAAGTTATTACACTCAATTCCTATGCATTTACATGTGCTTTTATTTTTTTGAAAATTGAGCTCAAAGTGTAGTATGTGTGATTGTAACTTGTTTCACTACGAGCCATTTGGTTTGCTAAAAATGAAATGCAAAGTAAGAGATTTACAGAGTACTACGATTATAATGTATTTTTTGAGTTGTTTGGTTCACTGTAAAATAAACTTAAATTTTATATTTTGTGTTTGGTTTGAAGCTGATTGAAAACAATGTATTTATATGAATAATGGGCAACAGGCCGCCAATCGGCCAGCGCCAGGCGATGGGGAGAGACGCGCTGCGTTGGCAAGCGGCGGGAGATGGTAGCGATGGGCGACGGCTGCGACTTGCCCATAACATTTTACATATGTAATTCAAATTTGACCAAATTAACTGAATTCTAAATTCATTAAAAATGAATTACAACATAAATTTCTAACTCATTAAAATTTACAGTGTATTTGTAAATTTTTATATCAAACATAGAATTTTCTTAAATTTCTGCATATATATATATATAAATATATATATAACTTCTTTAATTATGCATAAAAAGGTGTATTTCACCTTTATAAAAATAAAAAAGGCAGAATTTTTTATGTGATGCTAATGATTTAGGTGGCACAAATGTAAAAAAGTAAAAGTTTTGGTGTTGTATATGTAAATTCATAGGAATTTGGTGGCATGCATGTGAATGTCCAACTGGGCAAGGCCCCGTGGTTTTTCCCTTTTTACGGGTTTTCCACGTAAAAATTTCTGGTGTGATCATAGCTTGATTCACTTTCATCTGAGTGTGTGCTGAATTTTCGTGCAACGCTAAGACGATAATCCATTACTCTACCGCCGCGAATTTTCTAGCACGCATCAAAAATAAAAAAGGCAGAATTTTTTATGTGATGCTAATGATTTAGATGGTACAAATGTAAAAAAGTAAAAGTTTTGGTGTTGTATATGTAAATTCATAGGAATTTGGTGGCATGCATGTGAATGTCCTTTTTTTTTTTAATTCTATTTAAAAATTTTAAATTAATTTTCAGAAAATTTGCATACATATCACACAATTCTTACGTATTTACATATCCAACATCTACAAATTTGATATTTACACTTTCAACACTTCAGTGTTGTAAACCCATACAAGAAAAGACATACATACTTCCCAAAAAAATGATGATATAAACTTTTAGACGTTAGACATGCAAATATATAAGCAATGTTTAATAGAAGCTACACATGGAGTACAAGCAACAAGCTTCTTCTCTTCTCCTCCTTCCTCCCCCATTTTCACAAGCTAAAGCAAACCATGTCCCAATAAGCAACCATTAACCATATATATATAGAGAGAGAGAGAGAGAGAGAGAGAGAGAGAGGAGAGAGAGAGGAGAGATGTTTCTTGATAGGGGATCTATAGACTTGGTGCTGGTTCCATGCGGGCTTGCTATTATGTTTACATATCATCTGATTCTTTTGTATCGGATTCTTTACTATCCCGAAACCACAGTTGTTGGGTATGAGAATCATAATAAGCTGGCTTGGGTCGAGCGGATGCTACAGGTATTCAGATACATGATTCAATTATGTATTTGCATATATTACATGACCTTTAGATGATAAACATGTAATTAAATAAATAAAGGTTATACCGTTTTAACATCAAAGCTGCATTAGCTGAAGCATGAAATAGGGGAAATATTTACATACGAAATACGCATGCAGAGTAATAACTCCTCAATAACCTCAGTTTCGCAGTTATTAAGGGGTTATTAGGAGTTTATTGAGGTACTAATTTCAATAATATACAATCAAAATAATTTTTTAATAATCTCCGAGGTTCTATTTCGATGTTGTTGATAAGTTATTGTTGATAAGTTATTCCCTATGAATTTCATAGCTTATAGTTTGAGCAACAGGCAAGAGGCGAGGAGACGAGTCTGGCCCTATCCGTAATTTCGAGCAGCACATCGGCATCCAGCAATCTCGCTTCCCTCTCCATCGCCCTAAGCTCTCTGATCGGCACATTGGTCGCGGGTTCCTCCGCCGATCAGCTCACCGCACAAGTAATATACGGCGACAAAACCCGATCAACCACCTCCGTCAAGTACATCTCGCTCCTCGTCTGCTTCCTCGTCGCCTTCACCGCTTTCATCCAATCGGCGCGATACTTCGTCCACTCCAGCTATCTCATGACCACGCTGGGATCCGATTTGCCGGTAGGGTACGTCCAGAGGGCCGTCATACGCGGCGGGAATTTCTGGGCGGCGGGGTTGAGGGCGCTCTATTTCGCGACGGTGCTTCTGATGTGGATTTTCGGGCCGATTCCGATGTTCTTGTCTTCGGTTCTTATGGTTGGGGTTCTGCATTTGCTTGATTCGAATTCGATGCCTCTGCACAGACATTGTTTCCACCGGCGGCCGTCGGCGGCCAAAATGGTTGCTACATTTGTCGATACTTGACCATTTTGGATCCGTCTAGGGCAACTGATGTTAAAAAAAAAATGTATACATCTAGTCGTGACTTATGTGGGAAAATGCTTCGTTCCAACGGTAATTTTTGTTAAAAAAGCACTCAAAACAGACAAAACTGCGATGCGGTGCCGCACCACAATTATTGCCCCAAAAGGAACAATTGTTGGATGCTTGAGATTCTTATTAGGCTTTGTGATGACAATAATTTTGATTGGTGGTTTGTACATTTTGTTTTTATATCTAAAATTATTGAATTTATTTTTTATTTATGTTTTATATTTTATAATACAATTTTGATCAATTTTTTTTATCGTTATAATGTTATTTGTCATATTTAATTAATTTTTATTTTTATTATGTTAACTGACAAAACTCCGGTCCGGTTCAGTTCTGGTCGAATCAACAAACTTTAAATATTTTTTTTTTCTAGTCAGCCCGATTAAGGGTCAGTTTGAGGCAGCTTGTGCGTTTCTGGATAAGCTGCTTATCCTTAAACGCGGCCTGCGGGCTGGCCACAGGGGTCGACCCGCGATCTGCGTTTGGTGTAAAAACTCAAACTCAGTTTCAGATAAGCTGATGAAACGCGCGAACCAAATAGTACGACCGGGTTTTGAAAACGCTGCCCGCACTTATAAGCTGCCCTAAACGGATCCTAAGAGTATCAATTCTGGTCAGCAGATCGAGTTTGATTCTGACATGAAAAGGGACTCGATCTGAACAGCATCAACTCGAACCTGAACCGAATAATAAACGCGTCAAAAATTAAAATCTGAACTAAACCCAAACCTTAGTTTCACCTGCTAACCCAAACTTTCGGGTTATAATTGAGTTTTCGAATTCAACTTAAATCCGACCCGGATAATAAACTGGATTGAATTCTCTTAAAAAAAAACTCGGAAAAATATCAGTTTTACAACGGCGAAATTTGTTCGCCGGAGCAATGAAGTTCACAGACTCGCCGGTCATAGAGCTCACCATTGT